TTCAGGTCATCTCGTATGAACTCAGAAAGTACCTAAAAAGAGACTATAGTATAGATGAAAAAGACTGTAAGTGAACGGCTCATACCGGACAATACCAAGTTCTCCGTAGTGTCACTAGGATCGCTCCAGTTGCACCTAACGATGAATTCGGTGGGAAAAAATGGTGGGGCCATTGAGAGTGGTTGTCCTACTGACGGTCTTTCAGCTAAATGTTCTTCCTCTGGGAATTTCCATTTTTTTGTTCAGGGTTCCTGAATAGTGCCAGCGTCTCCAGACGCAAAGGACTTCCTTCGTCTTCCGCCTGTTCTTATTTACCCTTCTCAGTTCAGGATATTTCATTATTCTTAATAAGCAAAGGGATGTTTCAGCACAAAACCTAGCAAATCCGAAGCGCTTTATAATAGTGCTCCTCATCTGACTTGGTGGTGCGTGAGGCGAGATTTTGCTGTGTCTAATGCGAAGAACTATCGCCGTGAGTTTTGATCACATCGTAGAAGGATCAAAGATTGAAAACCCTCGTCTCCGGCACATGGAACATCATATATATCTACCACATTACGCGCACATTAGTTTTCCAACTTATCTTATAAAAGGCAGAACAGGGAAGGACATCTTAGCGAGAAAAGAGTTCTCAACTTCACTCAAAGGAACGTTTCGAGAATCTGAGTGCACATTCGAGCTCAGTGGCTCAAGGCGCGTCGAGAACATGCACCTCACTGCAAACGGTTCGATCAATTCACCTCCGTAAGGAGAAACTCTTTGAAGTCACTCTATTACTACTGTTTTGGCTAGCAGTCTGAGGCCAGTGAGCGATAGCATAGCTCAAATGATAAGCAAATGCAATTTATCCACTCATAGACAGATTTTCATCGAAATATATTACAGATTGAATAAATGGGAGCATAACAAAAAAAGCACACGCTCCATTCTTCAAACAACTAGTGGGATAAGTTAGAGGAATAAAAATAACTATTTCGGAGTAACAACTAATAGAATCAACGACGACTAATAACAGCGCCCCATTGGTGTGAAAACCCGATTAACTGAGCCACGATGGAGAAAGCACTGATGCGAATAAAGTTCCAGGAGAAGCAATAATTGGCGAAAGGGCGTAAGGAGTAAGTACGAAAGCTGAGACCGCAGGTGGAGCGAGTATGAGTGGCGAAAGAAAAAATGGAGACAGGATGAGGGGTGATAGCACGTTTGGAACGATAATGAAAGGAAATAAATAGAAAGGAGTCAAAATGAGTGGTGTCAACACAACTGGATGGATGATAAATGGTGAGAGTACAAGAGGACTAAGAATGAAAGGAGCAAGCGCTCCAGGAGAGAGGATAAGAGGATCAAACGGAAGGGGAGAAAGAGTCACAGTTGAAAATAAAACGGGAGAGAGGGCAACAGGAGAAAAAATGCGAGGGAAGTATCACTTTAAAAAATGCTCACGGAGA